AAAAGCGAAATCATGAAGGGAGACAAGCTTCACAGACAAGGCGGCAGAGGCAGCCAAAAGCGAAATCATGCAGGGAGACAAGCTTGGGAGACAAGGCGGCAGCGGCAGCCAAGAGCGAAATCACGAAGGGAGACAAGCTTGGGAGACTAGGCGGCAGCGGCAGCGGCAGCCAACTTTCGCAATCAGGAACCCATCCATTGAGAAGTAAGAACCCCTATAGCTTCGCTATTTGAGGAAAAAATTTGTTTTGCTCTCATTGCTCTTTGTCAGTTTTTGAGGCCTGCTTCGAGATACCCTTCAATTCCGAGAACAAGTGGATGCTGACTGCCCTGGGCTTAGCAAGGAACCCGACAGGCACATGGTCGTCCAAACGGTTGCTTGGCAGGTCCACCGCCAGCAGAATGAGGTGCGAGCGGACGGCTTTCCTTCCCTTAGTCGTTGGCTTACTCGATGTACATATCCACCGCAGCGTGGTTGACCAAGCGTACAGCTATAGTGAAAAGGGATTTCTGAACCGCTGGTAGCATTTCTATCTGTTGCCCCTTGTTTTGTTTCTAGTTGGTAGTTGGTAGCGGAGCTCCTTGGGTTTGATCCAGGAGCGATCATGCTAGTAGGTTTCTTGGTGACTCTCCTCCTTCTGTGCCCGGAGGGGGCTCACCGAAGCCATGGCGCAGCGGATTCCACGATCCCGGCCCGTTCCGAGCTCGTCCCATGCCGTCGCTCGTTCGACTCAGGTGAGTGCAATCTCCGTCACCATCGACGACGCCGTGAACCTAGTGCCGTTGACCGGCGCCACTTGCGCTACAACTGAATGCTGTGCTGCGCTCACTTGCGTACATAAACCTGTCACAGCTCACAAGTTCCACTCATTCGCCAAAGTCGCCAGGCAAGGGCTTGTTCGTGTTGGCCGTGTTCGACGCCAGAGGCCCATTGAACGCACCAAGCATGCCGCTTGCAAGAGTCAAGCCTTTCTTCGCCTCTTGGTGCTCAACGCAACCCATGTAGAAGCTTTGAGCCAGACGCCGGAAATACGCCTTGCGAGCATCACAACGTTCGAGCACACATGGATGCCCTGGTCACTCCTGATACTGCCAATGATTGTGGCCACATTGTGTCTCATGTTCCGAGGGGCAACATCTATGCGTCTGCCGCCAAGATATGACCTATCAGACACAAATCAAACCTGTCATGCGTGGTCGCAAGACCTGATGCTGCTGTGGAGCTTATCCACAGACTTGCAGCCGCACCAACAAGCCGCCGTGATCATCTCGCAACTCGCAGGACCCGCGCGCGTGTTGGCGCGGCTGACCCAGCGCCTGAAGAAGATACCTCAGAATCTTCCGCAGCGTCCAGTGATGACGATGATTGGCAAAGGCAAGGGCAAGCAACGTGGCAAGGGAAATGGCGTTGACCAGACCAGAACCCGTTCCCGCATGGTGGTTGCTGCGCCGCCTGGACCAACAGTGCCAAAGCGGCAGCCGCCGCAGCCTCCTCCACCTCACCGTCGCAGCCGAGGAAGGTGACATCAGCGAAGGCGAGTCCCGTGTCAGCCGACCATGGGTCGTCACTGCCGAGGAGGAGGAAGAGTGAACAGACGAGGATGAAGAGGGCCCCACTTCATTCTTGGCAACGCTGCCTGATCGTGTCAGGCCATAGTAGCAGTGCGCGAGCCTTTGAAGACCTTGGAATGATGACCGCCAGACTAAGACCACAGGAATTACTTGGAGGCTTAGAATTCGATAGGCGCTCAGATGACCAGATGTTACCAAATATGATTCATATAGTATGGATTGATCTTCAAGCGCCAATCACTTTCGGAGGATCCCTCCGTCACGCAACGCCTTCGCACCTTGTTGATCACTGCGCGCCGCCTGGATGTGCAGATATGTCGCAAGCAACCGCCTGGACGCGACAGGTTGTGGAACTGTGTGAAAGATGTGAACTGCATGTCGCCAAGCACCTTTGGTGTGCAATGGACACCCAGGCAAAACGCTCTGCCCACTCATCCCATCGCAAGCTGCCTAGGGCTTGTTGGCTGGGAAGACTTCGTGATCAAAGTGATCACAGAGGCCGCCCTGATCTCTGACCAAAGTTACCTGTCAGGGACTGGGCCGAAGAGCCAAGCCGACTCAGCGCTCCCCCAGCTGTCAGTTGGACATGCTGGAAGGGCTCTCCTTCTGCCATCTGTGTGAAGAAGAACTTGAGCTCAACACCGTCTCGAACATGGCCTATTCCACAGAAGAGAAGATAGCCGCATCAGAGCGGCGACGCCAAGGCCATGTCCCAAACAAGCGCGCGCAGATCGTGGAGCAACACCACGATGAATCCTGCGGCGGGGACTTGTCAACGCTGGCACAGTCTGTCAAGCAGGAAAGTTACTTCGAAGAAGTCGGATCCTCCGATTCCGAACCAGATCTTCCAGCAGGCCTTGCCAAGTCCCTATCCGGCTGGTGTCAGCAAAGAGCAGAGATCGACGAGCCATCCAACCTGGGTGCCAACACATTCTTTGCATG